AAGCTTAAAATTTTGGGTTCACACGTGTTGTTGCGGCTTTCATTGAGTCTCCCCCATATGCAAATCATTTGCGATTAAGTCATATTTTCGGGGCTATTCGAATAGGAAGTGGGTAGACAAAACTAATTAATCAGAAACCAGCTTTTTTTGGGAAAGAAAACAAACAGAAATACAAATGGTAGAACAGCTTAAGTTTGGACTTCGATTCGTTGAAAGTCACTGTTGACTTTCGATAATTTTCTTTGTGTCATTCAAGTGAAAGTTTCCCAATTTCCCATAAGAGATTTAAAAACTTCAGTGTGATTGTTAAGTATAATTATCGAGTTATATGGCCTGTTTCCGCTTATACAAATTTTTTTTTTCAAAATCAGAAAATCTTTGAATTTTTTCTGCGATAATCAATCAAAGCGACTTAGTCACACTTAATGCCCCTGGATCTGCGAGATCTATAATGGAAGAAAATCAATCAATTGGAAACCTGTTCCTTAACTCATCTCAACTGTTACAGAAACCATCTGGTTTAATGGGCCTATATCCGCCATAACGAATCTTAATTATACCACAATTAAATGGAGACGCGTGCCTAAGTCCTCCTTGGTCGCAAAATTAATGGATCTTGTGTGTGGTTACGCATCTCCAATCGATTAAAATTTATTATTAAGAAACGCCCTGCAAATTTCACTTTTAATTGATTTTTATTGTTGCCCAAGATGATTTTTAAGAGAAATTTATGAGAAGAATTTTGTTGAGCTATATCTATGGACACCCGTTGTCATCTTCAGCTGCTTCTTTTGTCCCCAGAGATTTCTATTTTTCTAAAAAGTGATGTCATCACTTGACTATTTGATGTTTGTGTTTTAAGGTTGGCTCAAAGTATTTTCCCAGCCTGGGGAAAACCGACTAATACCGTTGGAAAACATCAATTGAAAACTGTTTTCATTGCCAAAGTCTGAAAGAAAAAATCAGTTAAAAGCGCTGAAGCGGCGCCCCAAATAATCAATTCCAGCATTTGCATAATCAAAACCCACAAACAGAATGCGAAAGCAGGGAGAAAACCAAATCAAATTCGGTAGCCGGTGGCGCATGCGCAGAACCCAGAAGAACGAATCGAATTTTTGGGCTTTGAACCAAACTGAATTTTGAGGTACGGCATGATGTCATCAAAACAACATCGGTTGCGGGTGTATACTCGTATATCATATTGTATGTGTGGTACAGCCCCTCCGGGGGGCGTGACCAAATGCCAAAAAATAATAAAGGCAATGGGCACGAGGAGCTAGGGGCTCTTGAGTATGGCTCAACATTGACTAATTTTCGCAAATAACTTTTGGGGCACATCATATACACGTACGAACGATCCAAGCCAGTAAAAAAAGAGCGGAGTCAAGCTCTCTATAAACAATTTCGATTTCAACAAAAGCAAAAGGCAAACCAAAAACCATAAAAGCATTAGACGAAGTATGTAATATTTCCTCGCCTTTTCTATCGTTATGAGACAATAATCAGCCAAAAAGTTTGGTAATCATTTTTCAACAGCAATCGTGTTGAAGCTATACCAATTAATTAGGGTTTGAAATGGGGTTTTAAGTCTATGACATTTTAATTATTTGATGGGTAGTTAAAATTAAATGAAACTCAAGAATTACGTGTATTTTAAAATATGCCGATTGATGAATCACACAGTGAATATACAGTTTAATAAAGAATCCTACTAAATGAAAATAAATTTCAAATGATAATTCATCATTGTTTTTCTTAAGCTCATCAATCCCTTCTCTCTAATATAATTTCCAGTTTAAATCTATTGTTAAAAGTAAATCTAAGTTTGTGGCTTTTTCCTATCCAGTTTTGCTGTTTTCTCTTCGGAATTGTTTGTTATTTTGTCTCTTTGATTTTGAAAATTGTTTAGCATGCCAGGCACAAACAAAAGAATTTATAACATTGTGGGCTTCTATTTTTTTTTTCGTTCATCTGTATTCTTCTTTTTGACGGAGGCTAAAACTGAATTTTAATTTCCAGCCACTGATGAGGTAATTTTATGCATAGAAATTGTGACAACAAAGACCACCAATTCCCTAATTTGCCGTGCTATAGGTCTCATTATTTTCTATTTTAAAACAGAGATGACAATAAAATTAGGTTCTTATCAGACATATTCAATCGCTCACGCAAAAGTAATTAAAACTGGTAACGACTTGGGATGCTATCTTGGTAGAAAAGTTGCTACAAACAAAACTTAAGATCCCTTTGATATACTTTAAAGTATCATTTATTTCTGGACTTGCTAAATGATACGAGTGACTTTGCATATAGGCTATAAAAATTAGGCATACAAAATGCTAAATGTTTATTGATTTATGCAAATTTTTACACGATTCCGAGGTTGTTGCACGCCCAGTTCATTAGCTAACCGGGTATGTGGAACACTAGAAGATTAAGATCTGCTCGAGAGAACACCCAAAATAAAAAAGTAGAAAAAATCATAAAAATCATGTTTAGAGTGTTTGCGATGAGTGAAGTGTGGATGTTTAAAAATAGAAAGAGGCGCGGAATTTGAGTATTCCTGTTTACAGCTGCTGCGCATGTGCTCTGGTATTATATTGTATCCCGATTGAAGTAAACAGGATGCCTGGAATTCGACCCTTAGTTTGCATTTGCCCCTGACTTTGCCTCCCTTTTCCGGCAACTCAGTTGTTTCGTAAAAATAGTTTATAGCCACAGACAGCTGTGTGTTCGCGTTGAGGATCCAACACCACTTGGGGTATCTTCTATTTTTGGGATCAAAAAGAGCCCCCGAGTTTTAATAGCGTTTTCCAGCTATGCCTAAAGTTATGCCGCAGTTCCATATATGAAACCCTTCAATTTTTTTTGTTTGCCATTCCATGCTGATAAGGAAAACCCCCTTATCGCGGTATGGTAAAGTTTATTGTCACACTGGCCGTGTTGTTCATTTTTTATTGTTTAGTTTTCACCTCTTTTTAATTGATTTTTCTGTTTGCCATAGCGAAGTGTTCTGTTTGCCAATTTGCGGCGAATGCCTTCCAGGTGACCTCAGCGGCCTTTGGCGGCATATACACACCTATATAAATGATCTATTAACAGAGTTATGACACTCGGGTAGGTAGCAGAGATTATAACTCTTTGGCATGATGTCATATAGGGGAATGATCATATTAGGCATTTATTCAATGACCCATTCATTAGCCTGCGGAATGCGACAGGGCGCCATAAATAAGTTGATATTGGGGTGCATTCCCCTCTATAAATATCCGTCAGCATATGTCCGTGGTATGCCAGATATATGGTCAGATAAGATAAACTCCAGGGCCTATTAGCTTTATGTCAATGCAAAAGATTTTCCAGATCCCTCACCCCTTTTTCCCTCTCACCTTTAGCTTTGAGTGCGATAAAAGGAATTCACCATAGGCCAGTTGAAGAATTTTTGTTGCCACTTTTGGCTTGGCTTTTAATTCATCTGATAAACACAGTTAAAAAGGGGGAGGAAGCTTTCCCCCACTCTGAATTGTTGGGGCCAGCGAATTGTTGGGCCCACATTTTTTTCAGTGACCAAACAGCGCGGGCTCTGCGAAGAACTGACTGTATAATCGAGAATTAGTACCGCCCAAATAAAATCGAAATTTAAACGAAAACTTAACTCTTAAGAACAGCACTTTGTGCTGGTTTTCCCCGGACCTCTTGCGAAACCCCCCTCGAAAACAGTGACCAAAGACCATGGAGTACAATAGTATATTGCGGTCGAACTTTTCGCGCAATGAATATCGGAGATATATATCCTACGAACGTCAGTCGTTGGGTAGGTTTCTTATGAACTTGAACTTTTCCCTGGAAGCTCTCGATGATCATTATACAATCTGGAAACGAAAGTAACCTGTTCTTATCTATCAGTTGGGTGGAACTTCGGTTTTAGTTGATAAGAGCGCAAATATTTGGCAAATGAGTCGACGGCCTAGAAAAATGGGTTCGTTTTCTGCAGTTTCCGCTCTGTTTCCGGCCAGTTTTTTTTTTTGCGTATTCTTGCCCAGTATTACGTAAAACGAACCGTTGATAAAAACGAAACAAAACTGTGAAGCGTTTTCCATGGGTATGAAGTAATTTCGGCAGTCTACAGATAAGCTCGTCAGGGCAATATCACTATGCAACAAGTATTTTGGGTTTGGATACGCTTGCTGGGGGTATAATCACTGGTACGGAAAGTTGGGAACCCAAATTTGGTTTGTTTATAGTCAATTGAGCAAAAAATGACTTAATCATGTTGAATTATATAAGTGATTATTAAAAATATTTATTTTAAATTTTCTCACATAGCATATTTGAAGATCAAAGTCTTTGATATTAAGTGTATAAAAAGTTACCTATAACATTAATTTCTATGCGATTTTTTAAAAGATTTTTATCAATCTGAAAGAGCTTACAATTTGTTAGCAAGTTTGTGCAATTAAGATCCAAATGTGAAACGTCAATCGGATTGGCTTATCTTTACGGGTCTGAAAAGTTTTACTACGTGATGTGGTGTCGAAATCAAACGTTTTTGTTGCTTCTTCGTTTCAAATTCCCCTAGGTAATCGGCGACATTGTTCAAACCCTCTGACAGAATGTTTTAAAATTAGGAATTACGCTTGACAGAGGCGTAAACTATAAACGTACTGCTTTGGAATGTCGCTCTAACTTTAGACAGTGTTTAGTGTTTTTTTTATAGTAGCAATTATGTTGGCGATAAGCTGCTATCTCCAAATCAATAGGTTCAGACGTCACGGGTGTGCTTTCTCTATCTCTCAACTATATACTTTTCGTATTTTTCCTCTATTTGCTGTTAGCCCATTATTGATTTTGGTCTGTTGTCAGGTGGTTTGCCCATTTCTTCTCTCTACAAAAAAAAAAACAAAAAAAATCAAAACAAGCTCTAAAGCTAAACGTTTTGTGTTGCACTTATATGACTTCGAACTAATCCGAGATTTGTTTTGTCTCTCCTCACCCATTAGCATCACAATATGAGCCGGGAGGCTACTCCGCGCTTCAGACACCAACGCCATCCAACCGAAACTCCGCCAACATGACCCAGCGGGACGGCATCATCAAGTTCGAGAACGAGCGCATCAAAACGCTGCAGGAGGAGCGATTGCACATTCAGAAGAAGACATTCACAAAATGGATGAACTCATTTCTGATCAAGGTGGGTAAATTACGGAATATTATGTCAGTTGGTCTTTTAAACACTCTTTCATATCGACATTTATAATGGAGTAATAGACATATCAGACTATTTACATGTAAATACAATATTTTCAAGAACCAAATATTCTTAAAAATGTTTTAGTCACTTTTTTTGACTGTTCTAAGAATATTTTTGTTTAGATCTCTTAAAATTAACAAAGTAAACTACAAATTTAAACAACATCCTAAAGAAAATGTCGTTTAAAATTGAAATCGGTATCAGTGAAATCAAAAATTATATATTCACGAAGAAATTCCTATTGGAATACATTTTTATAGCACCTGCAATATATATGAATGCAACTCACAGTTGGGCTTATTGTCTTCTTTTATTGTTTCTTTTCTTTAGGCCAAAATGGAGGTCGAAGACCTATTCACAGACCTGGCCGATGGCATCAAGCTGCTGAAGCTGCTGGAGATCATATCGTCGGAGAAACTGGGCAAGCCGAACAGCGGACGCATGCGCGTCCATAAAATCGAAAATGTCAACAAGAGTCTGGCATTCTTGCACACCAAGGTGAGATATACCATATAAATTGGTAGGGAGAAGGTTGGGGCTGCAGTTTGTTGAAGACCGAAGGCTGAAAACTGGAAAGGGGAGAGCTCTCTACGCATTTGTAGAAAGTGCAAGTCGCGCCTGCGCAGCTGCGCGTGGCCATTGCGTGCTTTGTTTGCCATATGAGCTCCGCGGATCTGGAGATCGCGGATCAGGGGAACTGAGAGACCGGAGACGACGAATAGATATGGCGAAAATATATATATATATTTAATTACCTTGCCTGGGCACCGACTTTTCTTGGCAATTTCTGAAATATTTGCATACTTTCTAATGCATTTTTTTCCTTGACTACACTTCACTTCACTTCGCTTGGCACATTTTCCACCACGTATATGTACTTTCTTTGCACCTCTCGTGTGCATTTGATTTTAATTGCGCAAAGTGGCAGCTTAGCGTGCGACATAGTTTCGAATCTTCTGCTTTTTTTTTCAGTAAGGGGCCTCCTGTGCTAATCTAATTAGAAGCAATTAAAACGCAGCAATTTGTATTTGTCCCATTGCCCAACTAATTCACTTTGTTTCTTAAGCGCAGTGCAGTGAAAGTTCGCTTTTCGGTTTTACTTTTCACCAATTCATTACGTATTTTATTTGTTTTTCGGGCTTGTCTCTTTGTGTGTGACATGGGTATTGAGTATATTTTAATTGGTTTTTAGGCTTGAAAGAAGCCCGAGCGAAAGATTTACGCACAAGCGAGCATTCGATGGAGGATCCCAGGGGACCCATTGAAGCGTTCAGCGGAGCACGACTCTCGGAATCTCCAGTGGCCATTAGGAAAACCAAAGGGCGTAGCTCCGCACTAAACCTCAATATACCGGAATATTTAACAAAGTAAACTGTTTCTAGGGAAAAAGTATAACTTTTTCAAGCACAGTTTAAACATTAACAAGTTAAAAGTTACTTAAACTGCTTGAATAGTTTGAAGTTTTAACCGTTGAAATATGAACTTAATTTGGTTATTCGTTTTCCCAATTTTCTGGGATACACAAATTTCTATAAGTTTGGGGTTTTCGGGCATAATTAGCCATATATCTTCACTTAAGAAACGCCCCATTTTTATAATTTGACTTTTTAAAGTCATTAAATTATGGTTTTAGGATTCATCTCCAGGAAGTCCCTAATAAATGTATTCCAGAAACACCTTTCTTTCAATAAAAAAAATATTGGAAATCCAATTCTTAAATTTGTATGTAAAGTTGTCGGTAAAAGAAGAAGATAGCTCTCCATCTCAATTTTCACCTTGGCCATAAATCAGCAACCAAACGCTAACCACTTTGTAGCTATGATAATGCGATTCAGGTAGTAACTTATGCTTTCTTCGCTGGGATTATCGTGCGAGTTACCTGTCAGCGCCCTGACCCACTATAAATGCAAATGGCAGGCGGGTGACCCACATGAACCCGGAGGAGGTCAAGCACCTCCACCTGATAATGCGTGACTCGTTGGACAGGCGCAGACCCAGTTTGGATGTATCGGTATCTGTGGGTTGTGGAACTCTTGGTAACCCAATACGCAGCTTACCCACTCCATTCACCGAATGGAAATTGAAAGAAATGCAGAAGAGATAGTGTGGAGAATGGGAATAATGCAAACGATGGTTTCTTTTTCTCTTTTTAGGTCCGTTTGGAGTCCATTGGTGCTGAGGACATTGTCGATGGCAACCCCCGTCTCATCCTGGGTCTCATCTGGACCATCATTCTGCGGTTTCAGATTCAGGAAATTGAAATCGATGTGGTAAGTTGTCGCTGGGATATTCCCATAATTACGATATTTCATTAATTATTGATATACCTTTCATTTAGGATGAGGAGAACGAGTCCAGCGAGAAGCGTTCCGCCAAAGATGCGCTGCTTTTGTGGTGCCAGCGCAAGACGCATGGCTATCCGGGCGTCAACATCACGGACTTCACCAACTCCTGGCGCTCCGGCCTGGGCTTTAATGCGCTCATCCACTCGCACCGTCCCGATCTGTTTGAGTACAGCACCATTGTCAATTCAAAGAACTCCAACCTGGACAACCTTAACCATGCCTTCGACACGGCCGCCAACGAGTTGGGCATTCCCAGGTGAGGATCTATACTTCGGAATTGAAGTCCTTTAGTAAAAGAATATCAAAAACTAGGGAACAAATTATATAATAGTAGATGATTTACAAATGTCAATGTAATCAATCAAAATTCTCCCCCTTTCAGCCTGCTCGATGCGGAGGACATTGACTCGGCCCGACCCGATGAGAAGTCGATCTTGACCTATGTGGCCTCCTACTATCACACCTTTGCACGCATGAAGAACGAGCAGAAGAGCGGCAAGCGCATAGCGAATGTAAGTAGACCTGGTTCGGATTCGTACTCGTATTCGGATTCAGGTTCATATTCAGATGCGGATGCCATTGGCAGAGTCCCATCGCCTCTGGAAATCGCTGCAGCGTAACGGTGTCCCACAGTTAACGCTCTACTTCACAATGGATTGGCCCCCGATCGGATTCGGATTCGTATTCGGATTCCCGATTCGGGTGGGGTCCAGACCTAAACCTAGAAAGTTGTTCAACCAGCTCTTTCTTTCTTTCGTTCGATCCCCCCGCAGATTGTCGGCCAGCTGATGGATGCCGATCGCAAGAAAATGCAGTACGAGGGTCTGACCACAAACCTGCTGAGCTGGATCCGCCAGAAGACGCTGGAGCTGGAGCAACGCGACCTGCCCAACTCGCTGGAGGGCATCCAGCGGGAACTGCTGGCCTTCAAGGAGTACCGCACCATTGAGAAGCCACCCAAGTGAGTAGGGGTTCATGACCAGCCGGAAATGATATGGTGTAATGTATTCAAATGATCAGAAACCCAGAGATCTATGTATCTATGTGACCATTGGCATGTGTTAATGAAAGCTTTTTTTCCCCTTAACAGATACAAGGAGCGCAGTGAGATCGAGGCTCTGTACTTCACCATCAACACCCTGCTGAAGGCTCTGAATCAGCCACCCTACAATCCCCAGGATGGCCAGCTGGTCAACGACATCGAGAAGGCCTGGCAGATCCTGGAGTATGCCGAACATCATCGCGAGGTGGCTTTGCGGGAGGAACTCCTGCGTCAGGAGAAACTGGAGCAGCTGAACTACAAGTTCGAGAAGAAGTCGGTGCTGCGTGAGGGTTATCTCAAGGAGATGATCCAAGTGCTGTCCGATCCGCGCTACCTGCGCCAGGTGGATGCCACACTGAAGAAGCACGAGGCCATCTCTGCGGATATTTTGGCGCGTGTGGAGAGATTCAATGACCTTACCGCCATGGCCGAGGAGTTGGACAGGGAGAACTACCATGGCAAGGAACGAGTGCGTCGCCGGGAGCAGGAGGTGATGGCCAAGTGGCGCCAATTGCTGGAGCTGCTGGAGAACCAGCGACTGAACCTCTCCCAGATGAGCAACCTGATGAACTTGCTTCGCGAAATTGCCAGCACCACAGAAGCTGTGCGAGAGCTGCAGCAACAGTTCGCCTCCGAGGATGTGGGTCCCCATCTCCTGGGAGTGGAGGAACTGCTGCAGGCTCACTCGCTGCAGGAACTGCAGGTGAATACCTATGGAGAAACCCTCAAGCGTTTCAACCGCCAGGCACTGCCCTACAAAAGTTCCGAGCACAAGGATGCCGCTCTGTTGGCTCAACGCCTAGCGGATCTGGAGGAAGCCTACTCGGAACTCCTTCGTCGTTCGGCGGCGAGAAGAGCTCGCCTGGAGGAGGCCCGGAATTTCCATCACTTTATGGAAGACTACGACAACGAGGAATCCTGGCTGGTGGACAAGCAGCGTATATGCAAAACTGGCATCACCGCAAAGGATCTGCGAGCGGTTCTTTCCCTGCAGCAGAAACACAAGGCTCTGGAGGATGAGATCAAGTCGAGGAAGCCCAAATCCGGTCAGATGTCCGACGCGGGCAAGAGGCTGATCGGTGAGGAGCACCCCCGCTCCTCGGAAATTCAGAGCAGGATCGATTCTCTGGCGGAGCACTGGCAAGCTTTGGAGGCTTTAGTGGAGCTGCGACGCCGCCAGTTGGAGGATGCCGCCGAGGCCTATCAGTTCTACACAGATGCCAATGAAGCCGAGTCCTGGCTGAACGAGAAGATGGCCCTGGTCAACTCGAGGGATTATGGCAACGATGAGCCTTCGGCTCAGGCCTTGCTACAGCGTCATCGCGATCTGCAGGGTGAACTGAACGCCTATTCCGGAGATATCCTCAATCTGAACCAGCAGGCGGATAAGCTCATTAAGGCAGGCATTTGCACGCTGGAACTTTCCGCCGTGGAGCCGGAACTGCCCGAAGTGGAGCAGGAGGAGTGGGTCAACGAAACTCGGCTGGTACCGAAAGAAGTCTGGGAGGACGAGTGGGTTGAGAAGCTGGAGCACAAGAAGGTCACCGAAACGAAGATGTTGCCCCATGTCAAATCTCTGTTTCCCTTCGAGGGTCAGGGCATGAAGATGGACAAGGGCGAGGTGATGCTGCTCAAGTCCAAGACCAACGACGACTGGTGGTGTGTGCGCAAGGATAATGGAGTGGAAGGATTCGTGCCGGCCAACTATGTTCGGGAGGTTGAACCCCGTCCAGTTGCCTGCATTGTGCCGAAAGCCGAAAAGGTTAAGTCCCTGCAGAAGGTGAAGAAGACCATTCTGGTGCGTCAGGTGGTGCCCGTCAAGAGGATTAAGCCCGTCAGCGTGGCACCTAAACCTTTGGTTCAGAGGAGAACCTCCACCCAGAGCATCAACGAGAATGCCGATAGCGTGGAGAAGCGTCAGCAGAGGATCAACCAGACCTACGATGAGCTGCAGGAGATGGCCCAGAAGCGCCATGCCCTCCTCGAGGACTCCATTCACCTGTTTGGCTTCTATCGCGAGTGCGACGACTTCGAGAAATGGATGAAGGAGAAGGAGCGCATGATAAAGTCAGATGAGGGCGAGGGCGTGGACAATGCCAAGCGCAAGTTCGAGAAGTTCATCACTGATCTCTCGGCGGCCTCAAAGAGGGTCGAAGAGATCGACGGCGCTGTGGACACCTTCCGCCGGCAGGGCCACTCGCAGCTGGACAAAATCATCGCCCGCCAGCGCCAGATTCACCAGATTTGGCAGCGCCTTAACAATGCCAAGGCCCAGCGTGAGAAGAGCTTGGAAGGAGCCTCCAGCGTGGAGCTGTTCAACCGCACATGCGACGAGGCCAAGGTCTGGATGAGCGAGAAGATGCTGCAGTTGGACACCGCCGTCATCACTCCCGATCTCCGGACAGTACAAGCCTTGCAGAGGCGCCATCAGAACCTGGAAAGGGAACTGGCCCCCGTGGAGGATAAGGTGAATCGGGTGACCTACCTGGGCAACTCGGTCAAGAATGCCTATCCGGCGGAGAAGGACAATGTCAATGCCCGCCAACAGGAAGTCCAGGACATGTGGCAACAGGTCCAACAGCGAGGCAGCGACCTGCGCAACCGTATTGAAAGCGAGGTGGGTCAGCAGATCTTTAACAACAGTTCCAAGGTCCTGCTAGCCTGGATCGATTCCGTCAAGGATCAACTTAATGCCGATGAGTCTGCCCGTGATGTGGAAACTGCCAACAATCTGCTGAAGAAGCACAACGATCTGGGCGACGATATCCGCGCCCATGACACCGAGTTCCTGGAGGTCATCCAGTTGGGCAAGCAGTTATCCGACGGCAAACCCCACATGGCGGAGACGGTGGCCGTGATCGAACGCCTCAAGGCCGAACAGGATGCAATCCATCGCGGCTGGGCCGAGAAGCAGAAATGGCTGTTGCAATGCGTCGAACTGCAAATGTTCAACCGCGAGGCGGACAAGATCGATGCTACCACCAAGAGCCACGAGGCCTTCCTGGAGTACAACAATTTGGGGGTGAGTTTTAGTGGGTCTCGGCTTACTTTTTGATGGAACTAATTGCTTTCTCATTTTGCAGTCCTCTCTGGATGAAGTGGAGGCTATTCTAAAGCGTCATCTGGACTTTGAGAAGAGCCTGATGGCCCAAGACAAGATCCTCAAGGGTTTTTCGGACAACGCAGATAAACTGATTGCCAACGATCACTACGATTCCAAATAGTAAGTGTTTTTGGTACAACAAATTGTAGTTCTAAAACTTTTTAAATATGTTAAAAACCCTAACCAATCTTTGTACTTTTTCAGCATCGGAGACCGTCGCAGTCAGGTTCTGGGCAAGCGTAAGGCTGTCAAGGATCGCGCCTTTGAGCGGAAGCGTCTTCTCCAGGCTTCTAAGGACTTCCATAAGTTCGCCGCCGAGGCTGATGACCTCAAGGTCTGGCTTCAGGACAAGACCAGGATTGCAGGCGACGAGAACTACCGTGACCTGAGTAATCTCCCTCGCAAGTTGCAAAAACACCAGGCCTTCGAGCGTGAACTTCGCGCCAACGAGGGTCAACTGAGAAATGTGACCAAGGATGGACAGGCTCTGGTCCAAGCCGGAAATCGTGTGCCTGAAGTGGAGTCCCGCGTGGCCGATCTGAACAAGCGCTGGAAGGATCTGCTTACCCTGTCCGAGGACAAGGGTCGCAAGCTGGAGCAGGCTGCATCCCAGCGAGAGCACAACCGTTCCCTCGAGGATGCCAAAAAGAAGGTGGATGAGCTGGACGCTGCTCTGCGAAGTGGAGATGTGGGCAACGATCTGCGCAGCTGCAAGGATCTGATCAACAAGCAGCAGATCCTCGAATCGGAGATCACTATCTGGGATCAGAAGGTGGCAGAGCTGGTGTCCACGGGAGACGACATGGCCCACGAGGGTCACTTCAATGCCCAGAACATCGAGGCCGGAACCAAGGAGCTGCAGCAGCGATTCAAGGATCTGCGTGATCCCACCCAGCGCAGGAGAGCCAAGCTGGAGGAGAGCCTGAACTACCACAAGTTTGTGTTCGAACTTGATTCGGAGTTCCAGTGGATCAACGATCACCTGCCGGCAGCCAAGTCCAATGAACTGGGTCAGAATCTACACCAGGCCCAATCCCTGCACAAGAAGCACAAGAAGTTGGAGGCAGAGATCAAGGGTCACCAGCCGGTGATCAACAAGGCTTTGTTGGCGGGTCAATCGCTGATTTCGCAACAACATCCCGAGCGCGAGCAGGTTGAGAACCTGTGCCAGCAGTTGGAGCAGGCTTGGCAGGATCTGGAGCGCCATTGTGGCGAGCGATCCCGTAAACTTGATATGTCCCTGAAGGCTCAACAGTATCTGTTCGACGCCGGCGAGATCGAGTCCTGGCTGGGTGAGCGCAACAATGCCCTGCGATCCACGGAATATGGCCGTGATCGCGATTCCGCGGCCAAGTTGCTCACCAAGCACAAGACCATCGAGCTGGAGCTGGACACCTACTCGGGCATTGTCACCGAAATGGGACACAGCTGCGCCGCCATGGTGGCTGCCAATCATCCGGACAGCAAGGTCCTGGCCGCCAAGCAGCAGCTGATCGAGAAGATGCTGAAATCGCTGCACAAGCTGGCCTCCCAGCGACAGGGTCGTCTAATGGAGAGCCTGTACAAGCACGAGTACTTCCTGGAGTCAGACGAAGTGGAGCAATGGATCCGGGAGCAGGAGCAGGCCGCCTCATCGGAGGATTACGGCCAGGACTTTGAGCATCTACAGCTGCTGCAGAACAAGTTTGATGATTTGAAGCACCGCGTGGAAGTGGGAGCCGATCGAGTTGATCAGTGTGAGCTGCTGGCCAAGAAGCTAATCGATTCGGAGAGTCCGTATGCCAATGAGGTAGAGAAGCGACAGGAGCAACTGAGGTGAGTGGGGGGAAGGGTAATATTCCAAAAGGGTTATACTAATTGTTTACATTCTCACCCGCAGAACTTCCTGGGAGAACCTTCTGCAATTGCTAAACCAGCGCGAGCAGAAGCTCCATGCCGCTGGCGAAATTCACCGCTTCCATCGGGACGTGGCAGAGGCTCTATTCCGCATCCAAGACAAGAATGCCGCCCTTTCCCAAGAACTGGGCAGGGACTTGAACTCTGCTCTGGCACTGCTGCGCAAGCACGAGGGCTTCGAGAACGATCTGGTGGCCCTGGAGGCTCAACTTCAGGTCCTCGTGGAGGATTCTGTGCGCTTGCAGGCCAAGTATCCTTCGAATGCCGCTGCAATTGCCCAACAGCAGGATAAGGTGGTGGCCGCCTGGAATGACCTCAAGGAACGTTCCACCGCTCGCGGAGATCGTCTGGCTGCCAGTTCGGACCTACAGACCTTCCTCACCGATGTCAGGGATATAGTGTCCTGGTCATCCAATCTGCGTGCTGCCCTCCAGGCGGAGGAGCATGTGAGCGATGCTGCCGGAGCCACCGCTCTGAAGATTCAACACGATGCCATCTACGGAGAGATTGAGGCCAGGGAGGATAAGTTCCGGTACCTGAACGAACTGAGTGATTCCATGGTTCAGACCGGACACTATGCTGCCGCCGATGTTGAAGAGAAGTGTGCCGCCATGTTGGATGAGCGCCAGAAGCTGCATGCCGCCTGGAACAAGAAGAAGATCATGCTGGAGCAAAAGATCGATCTGTTCTGCTTCCTACGCGATGCCAAGCAGATTGACAATCTGTCCAGCTCCCAGCAGGCTGCCCTGAGCAGCTCCGACTTTGGCCAGACGGTGGAGGATGTCCAAAACAAGATCAGGAAGCACGACGAGTTCGAGCGTTTGATTCAAACGCAGGAGGAGAAGGTGGCCCTGCTCCAGGAGCACGGTCGCAAGCTGATCGAGCAGCGTCACTACGACAGTGCCAACATTCAGACTATCCTTCAGGGAGTCCTTGCCCGCCGCCAGAAGGTCAAGGATCTTTGCGCCGTGCGTCGTTACAAACTAGAGGACGCCCTGCTATACGCCAAATTCGTAAGAGATTGCGCCGAGGCCGAGTCCTGGATCAATGAGAAGCAGAAGAAACTAGAGGCCGATGCTGCTAGCTACGCGGAGGTAACCAATCTGGACGAGAAGATCAAGAAGCTGCAGAAGCACCAAGCCTTCCAGGCCGAGGTGGCCGCCAACCAGGGTCGCATTCAGGAGATTCAAGATACCGGCGTCATCCTTCTAAGCAAACAGCACGAATCCTCGCCGGAGATCAAGCTGGCTATCGAAAGAGTGCTCCAAGCCTGGCAGGGATTGCTGGCGGAGCTTGAGCAGCGTGGTCGAGGTCTGGAGGAGGCCCAGGACAGCCTGGAGTTCAACAGCCAGCTGGACAAGATCGAGGCCTGGATTCGTGACAAGGAGATGATGGTGCAGGCCAGTGACACAGGTCGCGATTTGGAGCACTGCAATGCCCTGATGAGGAAACTCGATGATGTAGACTCGGACATGAGGGTGGACGATCAGCGGGTGAAGCACATCAACCAGCTGGCCGACAAGCTCATCAACCAAGCCCAAGTCCCAGCGGACACCCAAAGTGTGGACAAGAGGCGAAAGGATTTCAACTACAACTGGCGACAGCTGCAAGGAGCACTCAATGCCTATCGTGCCTTGCTGGGCGGAGCCAACGAGATCCATGTATTCAATCGCGATGTGGATGACACGGCGGAGAGAATAGCCGAAAAGGCTTTGGCCATGAGCTCCACCGATACCGGACGAGATCTGGCCGCCGTGGAGGCCCTTATCCGCAGGGAAGAGGCTCTGGAGAGGGACATGTCCGCCGTTAAGCTAAAGATTGATCAGCACGAAACTGCTGCCGATTTCCTGATCAAAAAGTATCCGGAACGTGGCGCCCAGCATATTGAGAGAAAACTGGAGGAGCTGCACAAATCCTGGGGCAACCTGCAGGCCTTGTCCGTCAAGAGGCAGAGCATCCTGAACGAAGCTTATTTGGCTCACAAGTTTGTGTCCGATGTAAAGGAACTGGAATTGTGGGTCAACGATATGATCAAGAAGATGAACAACACCCAAGCGCCATCCACGATCAACGATTGCGAGACCCAGTTGGAATTGCACCAGGAACGGAAGGTGGAGATCGAGGGCAGGGAGGAGGCCTTCGCTGGATTAAAACAGCAAGGTGATCAGCTTTCCACCAGACCGCAGCAACAGCAGCCGGAGAATGTGCGCAAATATCTGCTTGTTCTGGAGGAACTGCATCAAACCCTGAACGAAGCCTGGAGCGAGAGGGCCAGGGACCTGACAGAAGCCCATCAGCTGCAGCTATTCAAGGCCCAAGTGGAGCAGGTTGAGATCTGGCTGGCCAACAAGGAAGCCTTCCTTAACAATGACGATTTGGGTGACTCCTACACAGCCGTGGAAAGACTGCTCAAGAAGCACGATGAATTCGAGAAGTTGCTCCATGCCGATCACGTGGACACCCTGCAGAAGTTTGCCAATAGCATACTGGAGGGAGAGCCCAAGGATGCGGATCTGATCCGGGAGAAACTCGCCTACATCCTAAGAAGGAAGCAGAAACTGCTGGAACTCTCGCAGGAAAGAAAGCAACGGTTGACTCAGTCTCTACAACTGCAGGAGTTCCTGCGCAGTCTCTACGAGATCGACCGCTGGCTGGTGCAGAAGCTCCAGGTGGCCCTTGATGAGAACTACCGGGAACCGAGCAATCTGCAGAGCAAGATCCAGAAGCACGCTGCCTTCGATGCCGAGCTGTTGAGCAATTCTCCTCGTGTCCAGTCGGTTATCCATGAGGGTGAGCGCCTTATCCGCGGGGAGCACTTTGCCAAGGACGAGATTGCCCAACAGGTGCAGCTGCTCGAGGGAGATTGGCTCAAGCTGAAGGCCGCTTCCCAGACCAAGAAGGATAAGCTTCAGCAGGCCTACGATGCTCTGGCCTTCAACCGCAGCGTGGATGAGTTCAACAACTGGATGGACGAGGTGGAGCTGCAATTGAGCAGCGAGGATTACGGCAAGGATTTGGCTGCTGTTAGTAACTTGCTGAAGAAGCACGAGCGCCTGGAGGCCGATGTGGCCCATCATGGCGAACTGGCCGAGCAGCTGAAGCAGAAGGATGAGCAGTTCTTCCAGGCGGAACACTTCCTGCGCCATGAAATCCACGAGAGAGCCACTGTCAGCATCCGTAGGTACAATACCCTTCACGAACCCTTGGGCATTCGTAGGGAGAACCTAGAGGATTCCCTCAGTCTCCAGCAGTTCTTGAGGGACGCAGAGGATGAACTCCAATGGCTGGCGGAGAAGCAACTGGTGGCTGGATCCCAGGATCTGGGCACCAGTCTCCTGTCCGTTCAAGGCCTCCAAAAGAAACACAATTCTCTGGAGGCGGAGCTTACCTCGCAGGAACCTTTGATTCAGGCTCTCCTCCAAAGGGGTCAACAGATGATCCGGGACAATCACTTTGCCAGCGAGCAATTGCAATACAAGTCGGAGTTGCTCCAGAAGCAGCTGGTCCAGTTGAGGGATTTGGCTGCCATTCGGCGACTGCGTCTTCTGGACGCCGTGGAGAGCCAGCTCTTCTATGTGGAGGCCAACGAGGCGGATGCCTGGATGCGGGAGAAACGTCCTGTTTTGGCCAGCAGCGATTACGGCCGGGATGAGGTCTCCGTTCAGGGACACCAGAAGAAACTGGAAGTCCTGCAAAGAGAACTCGCCGCCTTCAAGCCATCGATAGAGAAGGTGGCCAAGCTGGCCACTGGATTGATTGAGAGGAATCACTTTGATAGCTCCAACATTGCCGAGAAGAACGGGCAAGTGGGTCAGCAATACGAGGATCTGCTCCGCCTGGCCAAGGAGCGGGAGTTGAGACTTGGCGAGTGCAAGAAGCTGTTTGAGTACCTGCGTGAAACGGAGGAGTTGCACGAGTGGGTGGGCGACCAGATGGCCGTCACCGCCAGTGAAGATTACGGTGAGGATGTGGAGCACGTAGAACAGCTCATCCTGGCCTTTGAATCCTTCGTTTCCAACTTGAATGCCAACGAGGCGAGGGTTGAGGCTTGCCTGGAACGGGGCGATCGCCTCATCCAGGAGAACAATCCGTACAGGAGCTCCATTAAATCGAAGCGCGATGAGACCAAGCAGTTGTGGGAAGAGCTCAAGGATCTGGTGCACGCTCGCCAGGATGCCTTGGCTGGAGCTAAGCAGGTGCACGTCTACGATCGCGTGGCCGATGAAACTATTCAGCTCATCAACGAGAAGGATGCCTCGCTCATTTCCGAGGATTACGGTCAGGATTTGGAGAGCATTCAGGCCTTGGGCAGGAAGCACCAAGTGTTCGAGTCCGAGCTGGTTGGAATCCAGGGACAAGTTGACTCCGTCCTGGCAGAGGCTGTCAAACTGGGCGAGATCTACCCTGATGCCAAGGAACACATTGAAGTCAAACGGGATGAGACAGTGGAGGCCTGGACGGATCTGAAGGAGAAGACTGGAGCCAGAAAGAATAAGCTCAGCCAAGCAGAGCAGCTCCAGTCCTACTTCGATGAGTACCGTGATCTAATTGCCTGGATCAACGAGATGCTGGCCAAGATCACGGCCCCCGAACTTGCCACCAGTGTGGCGGGAGCCGAGCTCCTTTTGGCCAGCATCAAAGATCACGATACGGAGATCCGTGCCAGGGACGAAACCTTCGCCAAGTTTGCTACCAATGGTCAGCAATTGATCAAGGAGAAGCACTTCCTGGCCCACGAAGTGGAGGACAAGATCAAGGTCCTGCAGGCTCGTCACGAACTCCTGAAGCATACTCTTCGCAAGCGTCGTGAAATCTACGAACTCAACCTGGACACCCAGTTGTTCTTGAAGGACGCCGAGATTCTGGAGCAATGGATCAGTAGTCGCGAACCCCAGCTCAAGGATGCCAAGCTGGGAGATTCCATACCCCAGGTGGAGGATCTGCTGCGCCGGCACGAGGACTTTGAGAAGACTGTGGCCGCCCAAGAAGAGAAGTTCCAGGCCATCAAGCGGATAACGCTGCTGGAACAGCTCTTCCGTCACCAGCTGGAGCAGGAAAAGATCAGCAAGCTGCAGGAAAAGGAACGTTTGGAGAAGGAACGCCTGGAGCAGTTGAAGCAACGAGAGCTCCAGCGCCTGGCGGATGAAAGAAGACGAGCGGAGAAACAGCACGAGCATCGCCAGAATGCTGCGTCGCAGGAAAAGACACCGATCTTCTCCTCGCCCATGGTCACTCCGGCCCAGACCAGTGGCCCACAGTCGCCGGCCTTGGGTCAGGCCCAGTTGAGGCCTCCATTCGGGGATGAGAACGAGCACATGGCCCTCCAGAAGAGCAGCTCTAGCGGTATGTTTGGTGACCGATTGCGTCGCGGATCCGCCGATGCCAATGTGAAGCGGGCGGAGAGCATGAAGGTTCAGCCCAAACAGGCCAAGCGCACGCCATCGTTTACCACCAGAAGACGCGCTCAGTCCTTCAGGAAGAACCAGAAGGGCGAGGGATTCGACCTGCCGCCCGTTGAGATTCAGGGCAGTCTGGAGCGCAAGCATGGCTTGCAATCCGGCGGCAAGAAGGCTCCTGTGCGTTCATGGAAGCAGTTCCACACTGTGCTCTGTGGCCAGTTGGTGTGCTTCTTCAAGGACGAGAACGACTTCCTGCAACAGAAGACAGCCACTGCTCCAGTTAACATCCTGGGAGCCAAGTGCGAGCGGGCAGAGGATTATACCAAGAAGAAGTACGTCTTCCGGCTAAAACTGCCCGACGGATCGGAGTTCCTCTTTGAGGCTCCCTCTCTGGAAATCCTAAACGACTGGGTGCGCAAGATATCCTTCCACGCTAGTCTGCCGCCGAACATGCAGCTGCTTAGCTACGACGAGTCCATGAAGGTATGATGGGATATGTCTTTAAAAGACGAAAATTAATATTTTGTTTATTGTGTCCTTATAGCAACAGTCGAGCAGTTCGCCTGACATCAAGGTGACCAGTAGCGTGGAGTCGCCAGTCAGCTCCCGCAACTCCTCGCCCGATTCCCAGCGTCGCACCAGTGGTGGTCAGGTCCTGGACGGAACTGCCACGCCCCAAATGGCCTTCCTCCAGCGACAAATGCAGCAGCAGCAACAACAGCAGCAATCACAGCCCAGTTCCCCCAGTTCACCCACCGCCGGATTCGACCAGAAGCCACCAATCCCGCCCAGAGGAGCGCCACCAGTGGCCAGCCATCGCCAGAGCCAGGAGAATCTAGTTGTGATGCGCAATCGCCAAAGTTCCAGTAATGGTAAGGACTACTGAAAAGAAAACATTTATTCCAATGATAAATTTATTACCTGGTTACAGACCTGCAACAATCCGCCACTTTGCCCGCCGGCTTGACTGGAGTCCAGCAGAATGGAAGCAGCAAGGATGACGGTGCGGTGCTGACACGCAACAGCGAGGCCAGACAATCGGGTGAGTCCTAAGAACTGGGTAGTAGTCATATCCCCCCTAGCCATTTGTGTCTCTGTCCATACACCACCTACACATTATTCCACTCACATTGTACAAATTGTCCTCCAACAACGCAATGCCGTGTGTATTAGATAATCCGCCGCCATTGCCAACGACGATGCCACCGGTGGGTGGCCAGCATCAGCATCCCCAGCATTCCCATTCCCATCAGAGTCAGCATCAGGCGCAGGTTCAGCAGAGGATTAATGCCTTCAATGCGGCGGCGAGTCAGCAGCAACAGCCGGATTACTATAATAATAACAGCCCAGCGAGGCAGCAGCCGCAGAGGATTCCCTCGGGCAGGATCGACTCCACGAGGAAGTTCATCGAGATGGAGTCGCATAACAATAATGGCGGCACCAGCAGCAGTCCCAAGAGGAGCAACGTCAACTATTCAAGCAGCGGGGCCAGCAGCAATGGCAACGGTAATGTGAAGATAGGAGCCGGGAACTCCTCCACGACCACGATCACCAACTCCACCACCACCACCACACACCAAGTGACCTCGAGCAGTCGCACGGTGTGGCATCTAACCTCATCGCCCACCTCATCGACCAAATCATCATCAACCGGGGGCTCCGGGGAGCCTAGCCATGCCATCAGTAATCCAAGCTATATGGGTCTGCATCTGAATAACAATAATGACTCAATCGGAATTGGACTCGGTGGTTAGACGAACCTCATTAATCCTAACAATCTGTATATTATTCGGTTCCTAGTCTTAAGTGCATGATGCTACGGTTTCGGCTGATCTGAACTCTTTGTACATATCTGTTTCTCTCTTTATTCTGAATGCATGCCTTTTTGTGGAATAGGTTCCTCGACTTTCAAGCCGGTGAAGATAACCCGCCGATCCTATCTGCGCACGAGTTTGCAAAGTATTTCTATGGGTTTTATATACTATTTGTTTATTATTCCTAATCGAACTATCTGTAACTCGAACAAGTCGTCGATTCTAAATAACCGGGATGAAATACTTTTAAATTTCCACTAATTTGAATCAATCACAGATTTTGTTTCGAGTTATAGAACTTCGATGGTATATTTGGTTTTAAGTGCTCTTCCTCTCTCATGTTCCATATTGTTGTAATATACATATGATAATTAAGCTAAGAACAATATCTGTTTGCCTGTCCACCCTATAAATCTCACTTTATGTTATGCTACACTCCGAACACTCTTCATTGGCATGTTGTCTTGATAACTTAAAGTATCCAACCACTTACATCTCTACTTATATCCCACCAGGTTGGGGAAACACCCGCTTCGAGAGCAACCGACCCGTGTCCCTGCAGCCCGACTCCATCAGCTTCTCGCGTGTTTCCGCGGAGAGTTCCAGCGAAAGTGAAGCCCAGTCCATCTCCTCCGTGTCCGGAGTGAAGGGCAGCAAGGGAACCAAGGAGGAGCGTCGCAGCGGCATGTTCCGCATTTTCGGACGCAAGGGCGACAAGGAGAAGGAGAAGGACAAGGACAAGCGCCGGTCGAGTCAAGTCCCGCCACAGTGAGAACACATTCAACTTCCCGACAATTTGGAGGAGCAGCCACCGTTACAACAACCAGATCAACCAGGCCGAATTGTTTTTGTATTTTTGATATACACCATAATTATTTAATTTGTATTCGCCAAGGGCAAACAAATTTAAAAACGAAACCAACCACTAAACGAAACAAGAAATGGAAAAGTTGAAAAATTCAAAGTGTCTACTTAAAGCTAAAGCGACAAATGAAAGTATAAAAGAAATATTATATATATATATAAAGTCAATGTTTTAATTGCATTATAAAATGTATTTGTAAGTTTGTTCGTTGTATGATTAAATATAATTTTCGTAAAACAAAAAACCTTAAACAATAAATACTATACATATTGTGAAAACAACATTAGACCGAAATTTTATTTTGAAGAAATTTTAGTGCTTCTTTGGTTAAGAACTTTGGAAAAAAAATACCTGATCTTTCCCAGTCGGACCTGTCCATATGGAAAAGGGCTGCAGGTTCACATTCCCATTATGGACAAAGTCCATTCGCTTTTATTAAGGCTGTCCAAAATTTTCAGTACTACAAACGTTCGCGACCGCTTTACATAGGAAATTCCTATGGCAAAAGGCCTGAAACCCCCTGAAAAAGTTCACGTGGTGCCAACCCCTGAACTTTTCCTATTGTGGAATCAAGCACCTCATGCCTGACGTTCCGACTGGGTTCATAAATGATACAATGCCTCAAAGTATGCTATAAAAATCGACATGGACAGTTTAACAAAAACTTTCACAAAATACATGAGACTGCGGAATAGTTAAAAAAATTGCGGTTTTTATTGTAGATTGCAATGCCTTTGGTAAATTTGCCAACAAATGACAAGTAATTGTTTATTTTTAAAATTATATAAAATATACTTTTAATAATAATTTTAAAAAATATTGAAATTTTATGGCCTCATAAAAATGATTATTGTCCACAGTCTATTAATAAGGCTTTAGTTGCGCTTGACAAATTGTGCACTTAAAAGTCAATAAACACATGTAGCTGATAAGGCCCGAGCGGATGTTAATATTTTCTTGACCATCGTCAATAATAGACTGATTGACATAGCTTAGCAAAACATCTGGATACTTGCAATCCATATCTTAGTTGTTAGCTCGTTTTATATTGTTTTTGCCAGTTCCGGATTTAGGTGTTATGAAACAGTGCATCTGTATTATAATAATGGAAAACTTTAAAAAACGTTTAATTTTTTATTCTAAGCACATGAGGACATAAGTAAACTTTTTTTTTACATTAAATTTGAGCTTATGGCGGAAATATTTGAAATAAATAATTGGTTGTGGTATTTTTCAATATATTCAACAAAAATTCGCAGTGTGTAGTCTCTAATCTATTCCTTTTGTTTCAACTTGGGGTTTTTCAATAAATTATAGATTAACTTGGGAATTTCACAGGCAATTACAAAATCTCTTTTGACCCTTTGCATTCTTATCATGTGCATTACGGCATTTTAAAATGTTCCTAACAGGTGAGCAACTGGATTTTTTATGAAGTCTAGTGCAACCTTATGTACACTTTCCATTGATACGGCAGCCTTCCCAATAATATACGAATATTGCACATTAGGCTTCTGTCCTTCCTAAGATAAAAAAAAGATAAAAGATTCTTTAAAGATAAAATGATTTGGCTACTATTGTCAATTTTCGAAGCTCGTCTGCTTCGATCCGGAATCCCGATCTATAAAATCTAGTTCGGACCAAATCGATACACTCTTTGTGGTTTCCAAACATAGCCTCTGTGGGTCATTGTGATTTCACGGGGACTTTTCAAGATTTATTCAATTAATCAGCGCTTGGCTCTTTGTACTCTTATTGTTATGCTTTCCTCGTCATTTATTTAGACTGGGGTTTAACCCGAGTCCCTGGCAAATTATTTATTTATCTGGGGCAGTCCAGATGAACTTGGTATTCAGTGCATAGGGCGCATCTTATAGTGAAAAAAGTTTGTTTTGCAAATGATGATGAGGCTTTAAGCAATAAATCGTATCTTGTTTACGTACGGAAATGTTTGAAAGTGTTATCTTTATAAGATACGTAAAGGTGGTTTCCCGTAGGAACGCTTTCAAAAGTGACTGCACATGTTTCACCACGAGATGATCTATTTCGCTTACAAACGAATACGCTTCGGGAAAAGCTGAGTCTTCGGCAGAGATCGATGCACTATATAAGCTCCTCCGCGATTCTTTCAAGCCACAAGTCTCCGACAATTCAACAAGGAACCATTCACCCAACAGGCTCTCTGAAAACTTCTTCCAATATGATGCAAATCAAGTACTTGTTCGCCCTCTTCGCTGTCCTGATGGTGGTCGTCCTGGGAGCCAATGAGGTCGATGCCGACTGCCTTTCCGGAAGATACAAGGGTCCCTGTGCCGTCTGGGACAATGAGACTTGCCGACGAGTGTGCAAGGAGGAAGGACGAGTCAGTGGTCACTGCAGCCCCAGTCTGAAGTGCTGGTGCGAAGGATGCTAAGACATCAGCGCTACAAAAACCGAATATCTAATAAAAATAATGTACATTAACTATCGTGTTTTTAATATCCTAAAACAAGGCACCTGAAAAAAATAGCTTTTTGGTATTTCTTTATTGTAAAAAGTAATGTTCTAATTACTTTGTTTACTACGTTGTTTGAAAAAAAAATTCAAAGATAAAAGGTGAAGAGCTAATTTAAAGTGGCGAAAACTTTAATTAGGAGTTTATCACCTAGTATTTCCACATATTGTATGCGCATTCCTCTCTCTATTCGAAACTATAATATAAACCTCAGTCAATTTCCTAACTTTAGTTGCAAATTACTTGGGAAATGTGTCCCGGACCTACATACGCCTTAGATTGTTGTCGAGGTCAAAGGAATTTTTTATTTATTTTATATTACTCCTAAATATTTACACGGATAAGGCTAAGTCATTAGGAGGGCCAAGTTCAAGTGAAAGTCGCCCATTGATTACTGTTAAAGACCCCGGAAACGTAAACTTGAAAAACTAAGTACACAAAAATGTAAAGTTAGCAGTCATTAGATTTGCAAATAAATATTTATAAACATGTAAGGCATGTACCCACACGAAATATAAAAATTTATCTTAGTGAGCTTAGACAGCTTTTAAATTACCCAAACCCTTTTTCAAACCTAAGTTTTATGATGACACCGCAATAAAGTACAAAGTGTTATTAAATTTGTAATCAGCTCGAGTTTTTATTTGCCATCAGTCTTTCTACGAGTCTCTCTCTAATTTTCTTCTTTGCACGTTCCCAAATCCATCCAGGTTCCAATGAGATGGGTATAGATCCTGCAAGTAAACAGAGAAAACTCCCTAGGTCTGTCCGGGAATGTGTTTGAGTGTTTGTCGGCGGTCAGAGCTTCGGGTAAAGCATGAAAATGTGGCAGTCATTGAGTGGAATCGATGGGGAATGGTGACCATCTAGTGGGTCAAACAGTTCGGATTGCTACGGTTCGGATTGCTATGGGGCCAAAGGGACCCGGAGCGATGATCTCCGGGCCAAAATGTAGGCGGATGTGTGTCTGTTTCTGGGATAATTGGTCTTCTGTCGGCAAGACATGTAAGTGTTAAAAATGATTGCATTAGTTTTATACTACGTATAAGGAAGCTGGGATCGGATCGAAACGACTGGACCCTCGACTTTGAAGTTAGGTAGCAGTGATAATTACTATTATAAACCCCATTGGGAGCTAGGCTCCGTTTAGGTCTTTGAAAGTCTTTGTGGGGCATAATTGGTAGCACCCCTTTGATTTTCAGCTTGCTTTTGTTGTGTCCAACTCTCGTTTTTGGAACTTTATGGGGTTGTGGGTGGAGAATGGGGGCTTTGTGGGGTTTGGCACACACGATACACACATCACTGTTTGATCACTGCTCTCATGTTAACTTAAGTTCGTTCATGGTATTGTTGTTGGTTGTGGTTGTTGTTGTTGGGCGTCTCTTTAAAGTCTCTTTCTCTCGCTCTTTATATTTTGGTTTTGGGTAAATAAAGTTCACATTTTCTCTCTTTCATTTTGTATTTTTTTTCTTTTTGTGTTTTAAAATATTTAATTAGCATTAAGATCTCTGCTGTTTTGAAATTTGCTTAAGTCGTAAGTTTGTTTAAATCTTAGTGTGGGTGGTGGGGGGTGTTTGGTGACCGGGACAGAGAGAAAGGGGGGAAAGAGAGTTGTATCGACTTTAGACGATAGCCGGTTTTCGTAGGTCTAGGATTTTTCGGTTTTATCATATTAACTTTTCGCTTATACCGTAACGCATTCAATATTTATCTTTGAATTTTCACACGCGAGAGGATTAGGATTACACTTTCCGATTCTAGCGAGGCCAGCAGCACGATCTTGATCTCGACATCGATCTCGATGCGGCCTAGCGCCTGTTGTCCCGATAGTTTCGCTGGCCGCCGCCACCGCCACGCTCGCGAAACGGTCGCGAATCCCGCGAAGATCCACCGCTGCGATTTCCGTACTCCCGTCGACGAGCGCCCGCGGAGCCGTTGTTGCCGTCCCGATTCCGATAGCCACCGGGTCCACCCATACCGCCGCCGGATCCTCCGCCGCCTCCGCCTCCCATGCTTCCGCCGGCAGCCGCCTGGGCTGCAGCTACCCCGCCAGCTCCATTGCTACCGCCATTGGCTGGTCCGCCGTAGACGGGAAAGCCTGGCGGTGGCACTGTGGGCAGGCCAGCGTTCTTCCAGGCGGCAAACTCCTCGTAGCTCGGCGCCTTATCGAAGCCCGGTGGTGGTGGCCGTTGTGGAGGCGGATAATCCGGCAGTGGTGGTGCACCCGGTCCATCGTAGTACCGCACCGGTGGCGGCAGCTGTTCGTACATGGCAGCTGCTCCCGGTGGCAGGGCACCAGCTGCTCCGGCCCCTGCTCCTGGCATCGGCAGCTGGGCGAACGGAGGAACGAAGGGCAACGGCGGAAGTTGGCCATGCATGTTACGCATGTAGTCCGCCACATAGGCTTCAGCAGCTGCTGCGGAGGACATGTAGCGCTCCCATGACGGCATGCCCATGTCAGCCGGTCCACCGGGTGGTGCTCCTCCTCCACTGCCCATCTGACGGTAGGGAGAACCGCTTCTCTTGAAGCCACCGCCTGGTGGAAGGCCCATGCCATGATGGTGACGGTACGGCCGATGGTGTGGTGGTCCGTGGTAACTCCTCTTGTGGCGCATCGGACCCAGCTGGTCATGACTGGCTCCCCTGCCTCCGCCGCGGCCTCCTCCTCCGCCGTGGCCACGCGAAGAGAGACTCCTGGGCGGCTTGTAGATCACGTGGATGCCCTTTTCCCGCATTACTCGAGCCGTCTCCTTGGATTTCTTGAGTATCGGGGTGAGTTCGATTTGCTCGTCCTCGGGGAAGAGGCGGCACAGTTCGCCGCCAATCTTGGGCTCAATCTCCTGGCCGTCGCGACCGATCTTCACCGGCTTGCCCTCGTTCCAGGTGTTGTGCAGATGGAGGGTGGCGTTGAAGGACAGCTCCTTGCGGCAGATCCAGTCAAGCTCGATGACGCCGCCCAGCGCCTTGGACGAAATACTGGGCGGCAGTACCCAGGCCACCTGGGGAATGTCTCGCCGGGAGGGAGCCGCCATCCGGGCAAAGCCTGCAAATTTACCTGCATGGAAAACAAGATTGCAATGATGTTTGTGTTGGAATTGTGTGTGGGTTTCTAAATCTTACGAGTTTTAACATAAAATGGTAAGAAGATGGTAAATATAAACTACTAAGGAATTAAGTAAAGATCAAGGTAACATAAGTCACATTTTGTAATACACATTTGATAGAAAACATCGCTTTTTCAACTGCTTTTTAAAGACGAAAAACTAAAAAATAATTGTATTTTTAATAAAGATATAAAAAGATAACAAGAAATGAGAAACATAAAAAATGAAATGAACAGACTTCCTCACCAAAGACAGCTAGTTTCACCAAAAACCACTAGGAAACCCAAACTGTAACCTACCACTCTCGTTCACCGAGAAGATGAGCAGCACATTTCTGGCCTCCTTGAAGGCCTGGTTAAGATTGGCGTCGTTCTGCGGCAGAGTGGCCCACACGCTCTTGCTCTTGGACAGCTGGACGTTGTCGCTATTGTTGGACTTGATGAGGAAGAAGCGCGTGTCCCGGAACAGGTAGTTCAGCTTTGTCATGTAGTCGTAGCCCTTCTGTGAATGTGGCTGCGAACCAATGCCTCCCGAATCCTTTTCCGGCGTGGAGCTCTTGGAATTGGGCTTACCCCGGCCATTGCCGCCACCATTGCCTCCGTTCCTCTTGTGCTGGGTGCCCGAATCCGAGTCGGAGGACTCGCTATCGGACTCCAGGGCTGGAAGAGCTGGTTTCTCGTCCTCGGCCTCGCTGGCATCGCTCTTGTGGCCCACGGAATCGTTCAAATTTGAGGGTTTCTTGGTGCGCGACTTCTTGGCCGCCGGCTGGCGCTCCTCGGCAGGCGGGGACTTGGCTTTGACTTTTTCGGGGGACTCGGAGGAAGTGGATTTCTTCGACTCACTGCCTGTACGTTTCTTTTTCTTGCCGCCATTCAGATCCTCGGGCGTGGGCTCCCGTTTGCCTTTGTTCTTGGAGGAGGAGGACTTCGAAGACTTGGCCTCCACCGTGGGCTGGGGGCTCTCCTTGGCCAGCTTCTTGGTCTTCCGCTTGCCACTGCCAACCAGCGAGGATGTGGCAGTGCTCACCGAGCTGATACTGGGCTCCGAGTCCGTGGAGTCGCCACCATTCGACTCAGACGCCTCGCTCCTTGTGTTGAACTCAAAGTCCTGCAGTTCCTCGGCAATGTCCGCCTCGTTCTCATCCAGGCCCAGGTGCACTGCATCCAAGTCCGCCATCTCGCGCATCGGCAGCTTTTGTTTACCTGCTCCGCAATCGGTAATCGAAAATCGGAGTACCGCAGATGAATGGAGCACCCACGCACACAAGCACACATACACAAAGCAAGAAAAATATAGAGAAAAAACGCCGATCGATCGGCAAGGTGAGATACGGTCGCCAAAATCCGGCTAAATCAACACTCACTGGCTGCCCTCGGCATTAATTTTGTGGACACCGGTTTAGCGCCACTTCCTATCCACTTTCCACCGCAATAATTCGGATTTGGAACTCGAAATTGCACAAATTTTACAAGGTTTTACACACAAATCTGCGTCAGCGGCGACGAATTGGCGATGGCGTCAGAAGAGTGCGACTATATGTGCTGCAAGCGGCCAATCGCGGTATCTATCGATAGGCGGATGCAGGGAATCTGCAACAAGAAAAGTAGCTAGATGTAGCTAGTTATTGGTAGCCAGTAGTTTGGCTTTTTTTGCTTTATTAAATGTTATTTAGTAATATTCGTCTTAATATAATTTAATTTTTAAATTATTGCTGTGACTTGCATTTATTAAATGTAAATTTGGAAATTAAATTTTTTAAAAATAGCCAGATTTAGCTAACAAACATTCGAGTTCCCAGCAATGCTATTATCGATTAAGTTGTCGTTGTAGTCGAAGCGAGGTAAACAAAATGCACCAGAACCAGTTGGATTTTCCGGCTTTTCCGCTTTCCCTGCTGGACGACAGCGATCTGGAGCCCCAGAGATGTTACGTTCCCGCGGCAGTGGATCCTCCAGGAACGGGATGGTGTCGCTGTCACCTTTCCGATGGCAGCTACGCAGTTTGTTGGGTTACTCCGCGTGCCGGCAGTGAAACTTGTTGCTTCCTGGATGGCATGGTAACCTCTTCGTCCCAATTCTCACCCACCAATCAGCGTTTGGTGCTTCTGGAGCCACTGAAGCTAGTGTCCTGCCTGGCAAGGATTCCCTGCGTTGTCACAGTTACCCAAGAGCTGCTCCAACGCCCTCAGGTCTCTCTGGAGGATCTGGAAGACGATGTGCGAGTCTTCCTGCGCCACCTGAAGCTGACCAAAGGATGCTCCGTGCAACACAGACGTCTATCCCAATTGGGCATCGCCAGTGTGGAAATTATCGAAGCTCCAGGGGTTGCTGCTGACGAATGTTTTGAAATATCCCGGGATGCTGAACTGCTCCTGGTGGACACCCGACTGGGAATGCCGTATCCTTTGGTTTGCCAATCAAAGTACCTGCCATACAGCTTCGAGCAGCCCATGGAGGACTTGGAGCAACTTCTGGAAGCCTCTAGGAGTGGTTTCTCGAACAGATTTCCTACTACAGCGTTGGTTGTGGGACCTGTGGGTTGTGGAAAGAGTCGCCTCCTCGGAGAGTTCCTGCGTCGTCACAACTGCAACTGCTTCTACATCACAGCCAGCCAAGTGCTGCGATCTTATCCGGGAGAAACAGAAGAGGAGCTGAGGAGAATCTTCAAGGCTGCTGAAACTTTTAGGGAGCAACTGCAACCTCTATGTAAGGCTTAAAGAAATCCGTACATTACATGAAATTATTAATTATTGTAATAATTTTTAGTGACTATTGTGATACTCATTGAGGATCTGGAGCTGCTTTGCCCCTCATCGAGTGTTGCAGATGCCAAAAACTCCAGCAATTCCCTTCGCATTTCAGCGCAACTCTACAAACTGATTGATGCACTGCCTCAGGGCATTGTTTGTGTGGCCACCTCGGGAGCTCCAGACTCTTTACACGAACACGCACGAAGGCGTTTTGTGCGCGAGGTGTCCATCGAGATGCCCACCGAAGAGCAGCGCAAACGGCTCGTAGAGGATCTCTGCCAAGTACATGATCTGGAACTCACGGAGACCTTACTCGATCACATAGCTAGAAATACACAGGGTTTTGTGATGGCGGATATAACACTCCTCCTGCGCCGCGTGCAACAGGAACAGCTGACCAAAAATGAATCCAATGTGGAGCAAATCTTCCGCCAGTCGCTTCTCCGAACTCAACCGAGTGCCTCGCGATCCACAGATGTGCGGGTGTCGAAAATGACAGCTGGTTTCGACGTTATTGGAGGAATGGAATCACTGAAACGCACCTTGCAAGTCTCCGTCCTGGCGGGTCTAAGGCAGAGTGCCGCCTTTGCCCGATTCGGATTGAGTCTGCCCAAGGGAGTGCTGCTCTATGGACCTCCCGGATGTGCCAAGACCACCATTGCCAAGTGCCTGGCCAAAGAGGCTGACATGACTTTTATTGCTACTTCGGCGGCGGAGGTTTACTCGCCCTACGTGGGATGCGCTGAAAGATTCATTTCGAGGATATTTGACACAGCGCGAAAAAATGCACCTTGCCTGATTTTCCTGGATGAGATTGGTAGGTCACAGGCGATTCATGGGAAATATATGTGACCCTAGTATTAATTTCATACATTTCATAGATTCCCTGGTTGGCAGAAGGACAGTCTCAAGTGCTGGAGGTGGTGGTCAAGTTCAGCTTAGGATTCTCTCCACACTGCTCACAGAAATGGATGGCATTGTGGGTGGTGGCAGTCAGCAGCACATACTCGTGGTTGCGGCCACCAATCGTCCGGATATGATAGATGATGCCCTGCTGCGACCCGGGCGCTTCGACAAGCTAATCCATGTACCAGCTCCGGATGTGGACTCCCGCCTGGCGCTACTGAAACTCCACGCCCAACGAATGCCTTTCCATGAGAATGTGGTGCTTGAGGAGATTGCTTCCCGCACTGATCGCTATTCCGGAGCTGATCTGTGTAATCTCTGCAACGAGGCGGCAATTGAGGCTTTCCAGCGTGACTTTGAGGCCACTGAAATTGAGCTTCAGGACTTTGAAAAGGTCCTGGCCAAGCAGAAATCCTCGCTCACCCAAAGTCAAATAGATGGCTACTATAAGTTTGCTTATAGGTTTTTGTAAAGCGACTTCTTGCAGGTAAAACTAAAGTTGTTGCTGGTAAATTTGTTACTTTTGCTTAAATAAATAAGTATTTTTTATTAATTACTTTTAAATTTTCTCCATTTACAATTATAATTTTTTAAAATTGTCAAAGGTCTATTAGACTCATATTTCAAGTTTAATTTAAAATGTAACCGTAAGGCATATTTTCGCGCCTACCTTAATTAATCGATAGCAGTAATCGCTGTCAGCTGTTGCAGCGATAACTCGGTGCAGCAGCAAAACAAAGAAAACACAGAAAAAGTTAACACAATTAAGCGTAGTAAAAAAGCCTAGATTATCGCCAAAACACATAGGCAGTGAGTCACGGGAAAAAGCTTTCCGGCCACAATGGCAGATACCCGTAAAGACGCCGCGCCGCCGAGCTACGAAGAGGTCATGAACAGTCCCTCGCAAGGTAGGTAATAAGTTCTCCAAAGATCAGGTGTCTTTAATCCGGTTTTATTCCAGATTCCCGGTTGATAGCGGGCGTACACCAGGGGGCACCTAGTGCTCCGCCCCCCAACATGCACATGCCCACCTACGGAGCATTCGAGACGACGCCGGTCAGCGTGGTGATTCAGCCCACTCCGGTCGCCATGCCTACGGAGATCATCGTGATTGGGGGATGCCCAGCCTGTCGCATTGGCTATCTGGAGGATACCTTCTCGGCCTGCGGCGTGTGCTGCGCCATCTTCTTCTTTCCACTGGGAATCCTTTGCTGCTTGGCCATGCGCGAGAAACGCTGTACCAATTGCGGAACTGTTTTCTAGAGGGGATTCCCCAAAAATCACCCAAAAATATAACCCACTTGGCTTTCGGTGTCGTCTTCATCAAAAATCATGAAAGATGCGATACGCTCCAGCTACAGAACGGTCTTCTATAGGGGATTTTCCATTAAAATCACCCATGCATACATCCCCCCTTTGGCTTTCGGGGTCGGAACCAGTTACAATTCCTTATAATGACTGTTTTTTTTTGATATCACAAAGCTCCAATACTTTTATTATTGTTAATCGTTAGCTCACAAATCATTAAATGTTATGTGTAAATATTATTCCTGGCTGTTTGCGATGTGCCCCCGATTTCCAGTCACTGTCAGGCGATTGCTTATAAAGAGAATGGTCATGTACAGTAGAATTCGCCTAACCCAAACCCCAAAAAGGTGATTTTATAAAAAAAGATTCATATATTATTGTAAATTACGAAATTGTTTTTAAGAAAAAGGGAAATTGATTTTAAATATCATAAGTTTTAACTTCCAACCATATAAAGCACTATTATTAAAAGCGAAGCTAAGCAAGATTTAATCGAATGTAAAATAAAACTTATGGGCAATACACCCCACATATAAAAAAAATTCATTCAAGAGAATTTTAAAATTTTGGGGAGTTAGGAAATACAGTTGTGGTTAGGTTTGACTCATAGAAAGCTCCATTCATAAAAGTTGTGGATGATTACTGTATCTATATAAATATTGTGCACAGCAAGCGTCGTCGAGGCGCGCTTCCGTTAAATTCAATTGAAATATAATGGGGGGCGGTTTTGAATTACGCCGCCTGTCCACATTCTCCATACTGTAAACATTTGTAGTGCTTCAAATGGAAATCAGAACGACCCATATATACCCTTAAGTATACTTTTGAATTATATCAGGTATAATTCTTTTATATCAACAAATATTCAATACCATATAATATAAGATTTGTTATATTTTCGCAGCTTGATGTTCTATACTTTTAAATTGTGATATGACAAAATGTTATGAATAAATCGAAAATGGATATACCCCTCTATCGGATTTCATGGGCACAGGGCATCACAACAAATTCGCCGGCATCCACATCCGCCGTGTCGGCATCTTCGAGTCAACAGTCGTGAATTTTCTTTGCCGTGGACATGACCAGTGTTCGTCTCCTGTTCCCGCTGTTACTTCCAGTGCTGCTGGACGCAGTTGCTCCTCCACCTCCACGACGACCCAATGTGGTGATGGTAATCTTCGACGATCTGCGTCCAGTAATTGGCGCCTATGGCGATCCGCTGGCCAGCACTCCGTATTTAGATGGTTTTGCCCGGGGAAGTCATGTCTTCACAAGGGTTTATAGTCAGGTGGGGATTTAAAAGATTAACTGATTAGTATTTACCTATACTGTACTAACAGTACCACATACCTGTAATAATTCTTTATAATATTTTTAAAACATTTTAGTATTATACTTACTTTCTTTATATATTTTACAGCAATCTTTGTGTGCACCCAGTCGGAATTCCCTGCTCACAGGTCGAAGACCTGATACTTTGCATCTGTATGATTTCTACAGTTACTGGCGTACTTTCACCGGAAACTTTACCACTTTGCCGCAGTACTTCAAGGAGCACGGATATTACACGTACAGCTGTGGAAAGGTGTTCCATCCTGGCCTGTCGTCCAACAACACGGATGATTATCCTCTAAGCTGGTCAGCTCCAGCATTTCGTCCTAAAACCGAACAGTTTATGAACTCGCCGGTGTGTCCAGATAAGGAGGGCATTCTCCGGAAGAATCTTATCTGTCCGGTGGAGCTGCAAACGCAGCCGTACAAGACCCTTCCAGATATCGAATCCGTGGCGGAGGCTTTACGATTCGTGGAATCCCGGAAGAATAACAACCGAGAGCCCTTCTTTCTGGCCATGGGTTTCCACAAGCCACACATAAACTTTCGGTTTCCACGGCAATTTCTGTCAAGATTTAAACTTTCGCAGTTTTATAATTACACGGAGGATAGCTTGAAACCACCGGATATGCCGGCTGTGGCTTGGAATCCTTATACGGATGTGCGTGCCAGGGATGACTTCAAGCACTCCAATATATCCTTTCCCTATGGACCGATTTCCCGGCATCAGGCCGCTCAGATACGACAGGGATACTACGCCTCGGTGGCCTATGTGGATGATCTGTTTGGCAAGTTGATCGGTGGATTAGATCTGGATGAGACGGTGGTGGTGGTGCTGGGAGATCACGGCTGGTCCTTGGGCGAACATGCTGAGTGGGCCAAGTACAGCAACTTCGAGGTGGCTCTCAGGGTTCCACTGATCATAAGAAGCCCGCAGTTTCCTCTAACCCAAACGAAGTACTACCATGGAATCACAGAACTCTTGGATGTGTTTCCCACTTTGGTGGATCTGGCGGGATTACCTAAATTGCCAGCTTGCCACAATTCCCAGGAGTTGACCTGCGGCGAGGGCAAGAGTCTTTATTTCCAGCTTATGGGTCTGGGCAGAGGTAAGTTTGTATTTAGATTTTATTGAATTTCTTTATAATAACTATCTATTTGTTTTTTAGCTGATGAGCATGTGGCCCTCAGTCAGTATCCTCGACCCGGAATGCTGCCTACAAAACATCCGAATAGCGATAAGCCTAAGCTGAGGAATATAAAAATCATGGGCTATAGCCTTAGAACCGATACTTATAGGTATACCTTGTGGGTGAGATTTCATGCCCAGAACTTTAGCAGAGGTGAGTTAGAAATTGGTTATTCTTTATTTTATAATAAATAATTATAAAATATAAAAAAAAACTGGCAAATCTAAAAAACACCCACAGTTAAATTTCTATACTTTTTTGTTTACTTAACATTAACAATCTACACATTTAACACTACTATGTAGTATTTTTTTTATTTAAAATTTTTTTAAGTTTTGGGTGTACCTTTTTAACATTATCTTATTTATTTCTATATTATATAACTATTTTTTATTTATGTATTTATTTTTACAGACTGGCACGATGTATATGGTGAGGAGTTGTACGACCATCGCCTGGATTCTGGAGAGGAATTGAACCTGGTGCCGCTGCCCGAGTTCGATGATGTGCGCCAGCGACTGCGCCGGCGTTTGATGGAGGTCGTGGGCAGCTAGTGGAGATCGGAGATCCTCCATTCCCCCCTTGGAATCTCTCTCTCTGATTTTGAATAAATTCATAAGCAATAAAGGCAGCGCGACAAACGATCTCGAGACGGCGAAATATCTTGTCGCCATAATTGGAATTTAATACTTCCGGTTGGGCAACAACGCTTGCGAGACGCCCAGACATGCTGCATATTTTTCGCTGTAATTTCTGCGATGCCCCCGTCTTGGAGGCCGCCTCCCTGCCCACCAGTCCATATACAATATACAATCCGATCCACGCCGATCCGCGCATGCGTGACTGGTGTCCATTGCCTTTTTGGCTTCGTTTTTGTGAATTTTTGTGAATGAAATTTCATTCAACGTTGGCGGCGCGCGTCTCGCTGCGTTGGCGTCGGCAGCGACGTCGACGTCCAAATCGAGAGAGGATGGGGAGAGGAGAGTGGGGCCATAGAGGAGGGGGCTACGTTGGCGACTCTTTTCGAGCTTTCATTTTCGCTTTGGTTTGTTGCCAGGCGAGTGAAAACCAAAGCACAGAAAGAAATTTGCACGGTAGTTATAAGAGATTTTTAAAAAATTTAAATCTTTTCTAATATATTAAAAATGATTCAAAATTTTTGAAATAAAATATAAGGTGCATGAAAGTAGGCAACAAAATATTTCTATTTCAAAAAGTATTGCAAATTCCGTTTAAAGTAAAATAATTTATATATCTAAGAACATAAAATCTTATTTTCTTACGATAATAAACTTTATTAGTTATTGGTAATGACTTTATATAAGCTTTATTATAAAATGTTATTTGGGACATTCCCATATAATGATTCATGATACAACAGTTTTGACTAAGATATCCGAATTGTGTATGATGAAAACTTTGTATCTAAGACCAAGTATTATAAAAATAAATACATTAATATTAAAGTCTCCATTACAATAGCAGGTCCAAAATAACAATCAATTTTTCTCTGTGCATTTCCCAGTCTGGTAATTAAATCTGCAGCCCGCTGCTTGATCGATGTGATCCCCCCTCCCCTGTGGACCGCCTCCCCAACCCCCGCCTTTAACCCACTCTTTCTCTACGTGCTCTCTAATGTGCATATTTGGTGTGGGCTGCGTTTTGGGTTCGCCATGTGGGCTGTCTTTCTGGAGGTGATTAAACTGCATTTTGGCAGCACTTTCAAACACACACACTTGCGCCGGCGCATTTCGAAAAATATGTGTCCCAAAGAAGGCGTGGCCATTTCAACTTTATGATTTTTGTCATATTTCTCGAGACTTTGTGGCTTTTACAATTCCATTCACTAAATTTGGTTGATTGTTGTACACATTTTTTGCGGAGAAAACTTTAGTTTATTGCCATTGATTTCTTGTATTTTTATTTGTTAATAAAATTGGAAAAACATTAAACTCATACTATTAGATAAGTTTAAATTAAATAGCTTAAATATCCATTAAGTTTCTATATTGAAGTTTTCAAATAAACCGAATTTCAAGAAAAAATGGATATATATTATGACTGGTTATAAATATTTAAAAAACTTTTCAAAAACAAAAACAAATTTATTTATTTATTAGATGGTAAATGGTTCTTGGTAAATGGTAGGTAAAAGGTTCTTGTTTATAAAATATTTGTAATCCATAAAGTAAAACAGATATTATAATAGGTATATGAGGTATTGTATGAAGATGGATAAAAGCTTTGTTGGTAATAGAACTACTTAAGGTGTGTTTACCCCTCCATCTGCCTGTCTCCCCCGCCCCTTGGCAATATTATTTACCACATCCACCTACCATAACTTATTTTTACATTGCCATTTCCGTTGTGGGCTTTCCTCTCATTCATTTTCTTTACCGTTGCTTTGTTGACAGCCTTTTTCTTTAATTCGCGCTAGTGTTCCTCCTCCCAATGGGTGGGTCTCCACTCCATTTCCCTTTTACCCCAATTTGGCTATGCATATTGCAGCCAGGGGGGAGGGGGAGGGAATATTGGGGGAATGGGGCGGCAAAGTTGCATATAACATGGCCATATAGCTCGTGTGGGGCCTTTGGCTTGGAGTGTCTGTTTCGGTTTTGAGTTTTGCGGCTAACCGCAGCACAGTCGCATAGCGCGTGTGTTATAATAATCTATGGCACTTTAGAGGTTTAACCGATGGCCGGATAGATACAGCTACAGATACAGATGGAAGTAGAGATAGAGATACAGTTCCAGATAGGCTGGCTTAGATGGATAGCGTGGCCAGATACCCAGATAGTCGGATACCGGCTGGGAGCCGTGGTAAATGTGGCAGACACTCGGGCGGGCTGGCTCTAAACTGTATTATATATCTATGGCCATAAAGCCCACGAGAGCTGATTTCGACTGGCATATACACAGGGAAAAAAATGATCATATTTTGGTACAGTCGATAGGTATCAATAAAACCATCATTTTAAGGAAATTAAACGAGGTAACAATCAGGACTAGGAATTTTCCTAGATAATACATAATCTCACATTTTTTAATAGTTCACATTTCCCTAACTAATTTGCGTCGCATAAATAAAAATGAAAATTTTTACGGAACTAATTTGTACGATCTATAAAAAGCAAGGACCAGAACCAGAAGAATACACTTTAAGAGGAAGTCTTCAGATCCTATCACTATGAGCTTGGCAAGCTTTATTAAAATTTGTGGTAAGACCTTGATAAAGTAATAAAAAACCTATTTTTTTAAATATTTACTGTTCGTCCTAGTAGCTATCGCTTTTATTGCGAGAAAACAACCACAATGCCCAGAATGCATGGTGACTGTTACTTCATATTAGAGTATTGGAATATTTCTAGGCTGCATTTTCAAGCCACATATCTGTTCTCGAGTATAACTTATGCTTAAGTTGGGTATGATCTACACGTTTTGTAAGGCCTTGTAAACAATTAAAAATATGTAGTATTCCAAAATGTGTGTTTACTCGGGGAGTTTTAGAACAACTATTTTTTTTTTTATGCCAAGAAGTTTTTTTAATGGCTTCAAATGACATAATTCCAAATAAAAACCTAATAATTAATAAAGGTGTATTTAATTTCATGTTTTTTATATTATTAGTGAAAATATATTTTTCAAGTGTACTCACAAAATATAGCGAATAATGCGAATACAACTTTAATTTGAATTTGTAGGCTGCTTTGCCGTTTATTTCTAAGCAAACTCAAATGCGTGGGCGGCTCAAACGAAATTGCAAAAGATGCGTAGGCAGCGGCAGAGACGCCGGCAGAGGCGTCGGCAGAGGCAGCGACGGTCGACCGAGCGGCACAAATGCGACAACAACAACTAGAAAATGTGTATAAAGTGGATATAGTTCATCAAGCGGTCTCAAGTCGGCTTTTTACCTACGCATCTGACGATGCTCGAACAGCTCACATCTCATAGCGCTCAGATCCAAGTGTAAATCGGGTTCTCTAGGCCCCCTACATACTTCTCGTGCACTCAGAAAAAACATTAATGCCAATCAGGAAACAAAATTTGATGAGAGAATTTTGTTAGAATTTTGTAGTCTCCTTAAAACGGATTATCAATGAACTTGTTGATGGAAAATATCAGAGAAAAATTGTTCCTTTAAATATTTAAATGTAGCTATTCCCTACATTTAAATATTTAATAAATTTAAAAAATTGAATTAACTTAAAAGAATCATTTTCAATATAGAAAAACCACATACTGATATCCGAAGCTTAAGCCCCTTTTATGAACCAATTATGAGAGAAATACTTTAAGTCATATAAAAATATTCTATTTAAATAAAAAAAGCACCACAATCCTTATTTTGGAATTAAAACATATACTAAGCTTTAAAAACATAATCTTTTCAAAGTGTAGTTGTACTCATAGACATAGTTGTTGCTGCCGGCCTCCCGCTGTAAAAATGCTAATTTTCGTTGACATGCCATAGTTTGGCTAATGACGAAGGTTGTTTGTTAGCTTTGTCAGTTGACTTGACGCCGTTGCCAAAAAAAAAGAGTAAAAATAGAAGAGGAGACTTAAAACTGGTTACCATATGTGCGAGAGAGTAATACGGATAGCGATAGAGGAGTGGGGGGCTCAAAATTTCTTTTGACGGAATTTCCATGAATTAATACCGCTGCCGGATTATGCCGCTCCTCAGGTGTCTGGCACTTGTGTGCCTTATATATGGTTATATGCCGATATAAAGTCGGAGGCCCAAGCAGATCTCAAGCTGTGGCAAACAGGAATCTTTCAAAAAATTTGCCCCGCTAAACGATCTTTTCTTGATTGAGGATGAAATCCAATTCAGTAGCTTGAGCCGAGCAGTTGGTATTTTGGTCAGATAACAAGGTTACCAAAGATCGGCCTGGGGATGCATTCATTAACCCAACATTAATTTGATTATTCGGTTTTGTAATTATTCATTAAGCTAACAAATCTATAATAAATATATAAAATGAATAATTTAAGAAGTGATGGTATAGCAGATGGCTACTAACATATTTTAGCCAGTGACCATTAAGTACAGTGTGGAGAAATGTTGGCAATAAGAAGTTAATGGATCTCCTTCTCAGTAGTTTCATTTCAGTGACGTTTATTTGTTTTTAATAAATACTTATAAATACTTTTTAATTTTAAATATGTTTATAATTTCAAGGACTTACAAATATAAATTTAATTAGAAAATTACTTTAAATACGCAAATGACATTTAAAAAACTAATTTGCTTCGCATAATAATATTTGTAAGTGTTTCCGGCACTAATTGGCTTAATCTAAAAAGCGGTGACCGAACCAGAAAAATTCAATCTAAGAGCAACTCTTGAAATCCAATCATTATGAGCTTTGCAACCCTTATTAACTTGTGCGGTAAGAACTTTGTAATATATGAAAATGTACTTATTAAAATGTTTCCTACTTCTTCTTAGTGATTGTTTTAATTGCACTCTGTCAGCCACAAACACCTGTTTGTCCTAATCCTGGTAAAGAATAATCCCAATTTATTTCATAAATAGGTATAATCTTGTAAACCTTTTTAAATAAAAAGTATTGCCATCGAATGTATGTTTATTGACTGTTGCTCCTAATATTTACATTTTATTAATACAAAAGTTCTTCATAATAAGTAAGAATGGGGTTTCGGAAAAGCGAATTAGCGTGACGTTATTTTGAAATCACATTTAAATAGCTCATTTGCGTCGCATAATCATATTAAAAATGTTTCCGGAACTAATTTGTTCAATGTATAAAAAGCGGGGACGAAAACAGATGAATTCAATCTAAGAACAACTCTTGAAATCCAATCACTATGATCTTGGCAACCCTTATTAAACTGTGCGGTAAGACCTTTGTAATATATGAAAAACTTTCTTAATAAAACACTTACCTTTCGTCTTCTTAGTGATTGTTTTTCTTGCAGACCCGTGTCCACCTGAGTTGGCAAGATGCCGCGATCCTGGTTTTCAAATTGGATATAAAGAGCCCCGCGCGTAACAAGCACGTGCTTGGTGTCATCATTATAATTAATAGTTTACCCATCTGATAAGCTATTGTAAACTTTTCAAATAAAAAGTATTTTTAACGAATGTTTGTTTATTGACTGTCACTTCTTTTATTTATATTTTTTAGGTACAAACAGTTTTCATAATAAGTAGAAATAAGATCTCGGAAGAAGCAATTAGTGTGTTAGCGGATCGATTCGGGTAAACCAAATACAGCATTTTCTGTTTAAAAGTAAGCTATCATCATTATGTTTCCTATGTCCACAGCATCTGTTTGTTTTAAAAATAGACATTATGCAGTGGGGAATAAAATATAAATACTGACATTTTACAGACGTGACATTTTCTTGAAATCACATTTAAATAGCTAATTTGCGTCGCATAATCATATTTAAAAATGTTTCCGGCACTAATTTGTTCAATGTATAAAAAGCGGGGACGAAAACAGATGAATTCAATCTAAGAGCAACTCTTGAAATCCAATCACTATGATCTTGGCAACCCTTATTAAACTGTGCGGTAAGACCTTTGTAATATATGAAAAACTTTCTTAATAAAACACTTACCTTTCGTCTTCTTAGTGATTGTTTTTCTTGCAGAACCGTGTCCACCAAATACGCCAAATTGTAACCATCTTCCTTGAAAACAATTCAAACCTTTTTTTCTAAATTGGATATAATTAAAAATGTACCCGTCTGAAGAGCTTATGTAAACCTTTCAAATAAAAAGTATTTTCAACGAATGTTTGTTTATGGATTGTCACTTCCTTTTATTATATTTTTTAAATACAACATTTTTTTATAACAAGTAGAAATGGGATCTCGGAAGAGGCAATTTGTGTGTTAGCGTGTCGATTCATAAACCATATACAAAATTTTTTGTATTAAAGTAAGCTACAAACATTGTGTTTTCTACGCCCACAGCATCTGTGTGCTCTTGGCATTTGATCAATGTCAAGGCCTGATCACTTCATCAGACCATAACTACGGCGAATCTCGGATAAGTAACCCCTCTGCTTCCGCAATCAATCTTGACCAACAACAGCGGGGCAAATAATAAAAAAAAATTAAATAAATAAAAATAAAAAGATGACAAAGTCAAAAAGAAATTGCCAAACAGAAAATTTTTTGTTGAATGAAATTCACGCAAGATCGGACTGTTGACCATTCAGAAGGGAATGGCGTACAAAATGAAGTGGAAAAGAGGGTCTTCTGCTGGCTGTCTTGTAGCAACAAAATAATTTATTGAAATTCAAATTTATTATCTTCCCCTCCGTCCCGCTGGAGACCATCCAAAATCGGGCTTGGCCAGGTCGAAAGAGATTTTTCGGTCCCGGGCAAAACCAATTCAGCTGGAATGCTGGCCCGAGCACAACACATTTTGGCCCAGAGCGTAAAACGAAACGAAACAATCAAGAATGAGTGTAGAAATTCCACAATGAGCCCACGCAGGGATGCCTTTCGGGGGGCTAAGATGGTATGGGGGGGGCTATGATGGGGTATACGGTATATGGGAAGGGGGGATTCCGGATCGGAGTAATCAACGTTTAGCCGAACGGATTAAGCCGAGAGCCGTCTTTGCTGGCATAAGCAAATATATGTAAAGTTATATACTCAAAGCCCCTGCACTTCCACTATATATGGGAGCCAAGTGGGCGGGGATGGGGTCTTGCGGGGATATCGTGGGGGTTTTTAAGCGAGGGAGGGGGGTGTGGGGCAAGGGGCTTTCTGAAGAGTGACCGACCGCAAACAGTTTGAAAGCCCCCGCTCTGAAAAACAGGCAGCCGCTGTAACGCGTGCTAAACAAGTTTCTCGATCGGTTCCAAGAGCGCGTCTTTGTCTTTTGTCTTGGCCAAATACCCTGTATATAAAACGATCAAGAAGGTATATGGGTATTTAGCTTAAGAAATTCTTAACAGTTGTATTATAGGTTCTTTGTTCTAACAACCAAGCATGTTTTGTGGCATACTTTTGGGACTCGCGTTGAAAATATTCTATTGTCTAAAATATTAACATTTATGGTATTCAATTGCGTTGCAAACGTTTGAAAAGTGTAAAAGTGTAAGCAGTTCCGACAACAATTTCCATACAAAATAGTTTTCAAGGCCTACAACACCCCAGCCTATGTATACAAATCTGTTGTATTTGTGTAGAAATAGGGGGTTAATAATGGGAAGGAACTTTATCTAAAATACTAAAAATATACTGAAAAGTTGGGTTAAAACCCATGGTAATGACAGTAAAAGGAAAGGAACAAATTTGAATTTTAAATGCAAAAGAAAAATATTTGTCTTCTGTAAAACAAAATAATTGAATAACAATTTCAATGGAAGAAAAACCCTCAAGGAAGAGAGCCAGGGAGGTCGAAACTAAGCGGTGGTCATAGCCTTCTTCTCACAAAAATTTAAAAGTTAGCTTTCTTTTTTACGTCAATATCCTGCAACGATGTTTTAAAATAGAGGGCGTTCACAATTCTCGTCTGGCAAACTTACAAAGTTTACACTTTTGCAACGCAATTGAATACCCTAATTATTTTTGAAGCGGCTCTTTATATAAGAAAAACTCCGTTTTCGGCTGTTATATAAAGTTCAGAACTTTTCCAAAAATAATGGAAACATGTGGACAAAATGCGGATTGTCATGAACCTTTAAGGTCGTAAGAATATTCTTTACATTATATTCTTTTGGCACTATATGAAATTAAAATTGAAGTCCTGTTTGGGTATATTGTTTTTAATGATGATACTTAATACTTTCTGGGTTCGGTTTTTGATCCCAAGAATCTTTATAAGGTATCTGTAAGTCTTGGCCAGATCAGAGTTCTTAGCGAGCTGATCTTTTCTTACTTTTTTGGTTGTGGCACAAAAGGTTGAGAACCGGCAATGGAAACTGAGACTGAAACGCAGCTCTCTGGACTGGCTGCGATATAAAAGACATTGAGAAATCGTTTTCCTTTTCAGTGATGCTGCTGATGCTGCTGCCGTTGCTGGGATGAGGAGTGGCGGGGCTGCTGCTTCTTATGATAATAAATATTTATGCTTTTTCTGGGCTCTGTCAGTCGGGGAGATGGAGACCAATTCAAAGACGGACAGCGAAATAAAAATCCCATTTCCCGCTCCCATTGTGCTTTATTTACGGCCAAATAATTCAAATTAAGCCTGCGATCCGTGAGCGTGTATGGAGTATCTGGTATATATAGATATATGAATATATATATATATATATATATAAAAGATGTATCCGCGAGTATCGGTATCTGCGGCTGGATATCTCAACACCAGAACAATGCCACCGCAAGGGGCCGCGTGCCAAAAAATTTTGATGAACTACACACATTATAAATGAGAACGAGGGACCCCCTTTGGATCCCTCTTATTCCCCGGATTTCTGCCTTTTCCTGGAACCCCAATTCTCTCCTTAGCAATTTGTTTGCACTTTTGTTTACACTTTTGGACAACTGAAAAAAGAAAAACGAAAACAAAATATAAGACGGGGAGCGCGGAGCTTACAATGAAATGATTTAAACAATGTTTTGCCATTTTACGGTTTACACCTGTTTGAGTTCAAACTATAAATATCGAATGCCGTAAATATATCCTCATGGCCATGGTTTCCAATTTGAATTTATTTTCGCCCCACTCGCCATTTTCCTCTCGACTTTTCCGCACACCTCGCGAACTGACCAACATTTCTAGTCGAATTTTCCCCCGAAAATTTTTACGCCACGATTTAATGAGCACTTCGGTTTAGTCGAAGGCAATTCGCGAAGGCAAAGGCGCCAGTTTTGCGCTAAATGTTATTTCAAATATTTTCCCAGCCACGTTTGGAAAATTTCTAATTGGATTGTGGAAAGAGTGAAATGTTTAAATAAGTTCTAGCAAATACAATTAGGGTATTCAATTGCGTTGCAAACGTTTGAAAAGTGTAAAAGTGTAAGCAGTTCCAACAACAATTTCCATACAAAATAGTTTTCAAGGCCTACAACACCCCAGCCTATGTATACAAATCTGTTGTACTTGTGTAGAAATAGGGGGTTAATAATGGGTAGGAATTTTATCTAAAATACTAAAAATATACTGAAAAGTTGGGTTTAAATCCATGGTAATGACAGTAAAAGGAAAGAAACAAATTTGAATTTTAAATGCAAAAGAAAAAAATGTGTCTTCTGTAAAACAAAATAATTGAATAACAATTTCAATGGAAGAAAAACCCACAAGGAAGAGAGCCAGGGAGGTCGAAACTAAGCGATGGTCATAGCCTTCTTCTCACAAAAATTTAAAAGTTAGCTTTCTTTTGTACGTCAATATCCTGCAACGATGTTTTAAAATAGAGGGCGTTCACAATTCTCGTCTGGCAAACTTACAAAGTTTACACTTTTGCAACGCAATTGAATACCCTAAATGTATTTGGAAAGGGTTGATAACAAAGAATGCTTGGCTGAAGAGTTATTTTCTAAATGAAATAACTGAATATAAAGTAAATAATAAATATACAAAATAATTAATCAATTTAAATATGTGGTTGATCTGTTTATATTTTCCAAATAAATTTAAATACAGTTAAAATAAATTGTAAGATTGAGTAATTTGTAATTCGAACTTACGTTAATGTCAGATCGTGGCATAAATTATAATACTTCAAATATAGATCCCAAAGTTTTGCTTGTCAAATTTAGTTTTAAGTTAATAACTATTTGATAGCCTTGTTTACAACGATTTTCCCTATGGATGTGGAAGTTTTTCCAAAAGAGATCTAACCAGCTCATTGGCCCGGCCAAACATGAATATATTCATTTCGCATAAATCTTGTTTTATATCTGGATGTGCTTCAATAAAAATCACACACATGGCATTGCATTTCCAATGAGCGGACAACGGAACCGCCGGACAAGCGGACGAGCGGACATACGGACAAATGGACATACGGACAGGGGGACGGACGAACGGACTAGTCCAACATGAACTAAACACATTGGATCTGATGGGGCTGGGGATGGGATGATGACTGTGGATGTGTGGATATGGCGGTGGCCCCCAGTCAAAGTTGCATATTCAAACGGCGGACACGGGCCAGGCCATACATTTAG